TCTCAAACCGCTAGCTTTGCCGCGCGTCCTCCCAAAAGCCAAATTGCTGATCCTCCCATTCTCTTGATTCCCCAGATTTTTAGCTATGCATTCCGCTGCCAGCCACTCCGATGACGTCTGGTTGTCCTTCGTCCATTCTGTGGAGTATGAACGCAGTCCAGCGAGCTAATTTCACTAGGAACATGCATTCTTTCAGTGTGTGCTATTTGTAGTTGTTTAGATGCTCTATAAACTGCAACATGATTGCATAGCTAACGGGCACACGGGTCTTGTAACTTATAGTCGAATGGTTGGACTTGAAGGCAGTTGGCACGATGGTTTCCCACTTGCCTAAAATGCTAGTAGGGCGCTATGTAGTGGGGAAATGGCGAAAGAACGGAGTGAAACGGTCAAAATCCGGCGAAGAAAAAGCCTCCGTTCTCAGTGACTTGAAAATCGATTTCGGACGAGTTTCCCGTACGCATCTTGCCAATCACCGCTACCGAAGATACGGCTGCATATGTGTACCCATGTATGCATGCAGCATCACGGCCGCTTCATACCAATCCCTTCGCTTCATAATTTGCTCAGCAAATGAATGAATACGAGCGTCAGGAACGGTGGGCGGGCGGGCGAGGAAGGCGTTTGGGACGGAATGTTGTTGCTCGATAGGGCGTTATAGGGGTACCCTCCTGGAAAAGGCGCCACGGAGCGCCTGTCCGAGGTCACGGAATTCTGTTAAGCCAGTCGTATAAATCCTACATCTGTATAGCGATTTATCGTGCCAACTGCCTTTAAGATATGTCAAAGATGGAACGCCAGTTGCTTGAACCCTCAATCTTACAAAATTTCAGAATTTGGTGCCTTGTCCCGTCTCACTGGTGATCCTCAGTTCGAGCGAGTGGCGCTGAAAGCGCTAGAGTCACTGTGGAGGACACGATCGTCACTTGGTCTCGTAGGCAATCACATCAATGTACGGACAGGTTAGTACGATCAGTTGCTGCAGCGGTGTGGAATCTCAAGGGGTTCTGGAGAAGTTGGCATGGTAAATTAATGGAGACTACCCTGCTCTATTTTAGGGCAATGGACTGCCACTGATACGGGTATTGGAGCCGGTGTGGATTCGTATTTTGAATATCTTGTGAAAGGTGCTCTTCTTCTACAACGTCCAGCGCTGATGGAACAATTTCATGGTAGGAATCCGTCATGGTAGTATTCTGTCCTTCTACACTTAACCTTTCTAAGCGCCTAGAGGAGAAAGGTGAAAATATAATTGCTCATTTTGCATTTAAAAGGGCTTGGTCATGTCTAAAATTCGGGGAAATAAGCCCTCCAAAAGGAGTAACGCATGCCACTCAAAGCAGATGCGGTACAATGGCTGGGGTGCGGCGGTTGCTGCGAACGTCATTGGTGGAGGGGTGCGAGAGTTCGTTCGCCTACATCCCACTCTCCTCTTCCACCAAAGACGTTGGCTGTGACCACCTGCCCTGGCTATCGTGCCCATTGCCTTTGATTTTAGCTTTGCAAAAGGTTGTCTACACTGAACCTCAATGTCTAAGTGATTCCTAACAATCTCGTGCAGAGCATCTCATTCATTTTCTTCCCCCAAAGGCATCCCGTTTTGCTTGCTATGGTACATGAACGTTCTCAAATTTGCTGCAAAAATAACCTAACATTCGCTGCGAATACATAGAGAAAATTTCTGAAATTAACTTTCGATCCCCTTTGTATTCCCCATTGCGAACCTCATCTCATCTTGACATCAATTTCCTTTTCCAACTACCTTTTTTATCTTCGTTTCGGTTCTTCCATTCTACCCCTACGTGACCGCTTGTTTGCCTATTGCAAGGCATACGGCTGGTTAGTGCGGCGGGCGGCGCGGTATATGGAGGCGATTTTGAGTATGCCGTCCAACCCCGTTGCCATACCTTTAGTGGCACGTTGCTGTAGCTGCGGGATCCGAGGAGAAATAACAGTATCTGTTCAAGAAATCCCTGTGCAAAGTTGTTGCTGGAGCAAATGAGGATTCCCGCCTGAACTTAGTAGGGAAGGAACTCCGCGGCGTGCAGACCAACTTCTCTCCGTAGAAGGTGTATTTTGGCCAGAGTAGTACCAATTTGCACGCCAAGTCCTTTCAATCTCCCATCCACGAAGAGCCCCTCCTCATCAGTAGATTGAACAATGCTTTGAAATGGCGGACGAGTATGTATTGTACGCGGAACGGAAGCGGGTTTCGGAGTAAGTAGCTGTTCTTGAACAGAAATGGCAAATGTATCCATCGCGTTGTACCACCTCCTCCACTTTGCGCGACCGTCTCAGGTACCAGTTAGTGAAGAATTCAGCTGCCCATGTGTTGATGGGGCAGTTTGACCCTTTGTAATAGCTACTCGAGACCGTTATAAATATATTAAGCACAACACTCACCATCTAATCATTCTTCCTTTTCAGAATACGCTTCTGCTATTAATCGCTATGTTCGCAAAGGTGACTGGTTCATGTGGGTAACAATGACGAAGGGCGCAGTTTCCTTACCAGTATTCCAGTCCTTGGAAGCCTTCTGGCCAGGATTACTGGTATGTTTTCGAATGTTTTCTCACAGATCTGGCCGGCTTTCTGTATACGAGCTAATGTTAATAGCAGCTTACTGCTGCGATCCATCTGAAACTACTCCAAGTTTCTGAGCTTTATAGAGCTTTCTTTTTCCAATGATTTCTGAATTTTTCTAGTCTATGATTGGTAATGTCGAAGAAGCTTCTCGAATAATGCTTCAATATTCCCAAGTGATTCGGCAGTACGGCTTTCCACCAGAGTTCTACAACATACAAAACTCGGCGGTAGGTTTACATCTTGAGATTTGGTTTTCGATTAAGGGAATCAATCAACATTTTCAGGCCGAAAAACGTGCAGCTTTCCCATTGCGTCCTGAAATAGCAGAGAGTCTGATGTATCTCTACAGAGCCACAGAGGACCCGCAGTTCCTGGAAATTGCGGCGCAGTTGGTTGATGTAAGAACATTAATGAGTTCATATTCGAGTTCTCTTAAAATGCACCCTGTGCCAGCTCCGTCTCTCTAAATCTAACAAATGGCTTCGAATCTCAGGAAGGCCTACGATCACTTCGAAGCTCCTCAACCCCCATGCATATACGCATGCACAATGTCTGTACCAGTATGGACCGTGCTTGCAGTGCAGCTGCAGCT